CGACCACACAACAGTGTTTGCCACCCATTGTTTTACCCCTGGAGCAAACCGGAAGTTGCTTCCTATACCACCCGGTGGGGGCGCTGCGAACATCGGGAAGCTCCTTGGTTGATTATAGAGTGTGACGTCATGGAGTCGGCGGTCCCGTTAGTTAATTTAGGTCTATGGTACAACCGACCACACAACAGTGTTTGCCACCCATTGTGTTACCCCTGGAGCAAACCGGAAGTTGCTTCCTATACCACCCGGTGGGGGCGCTGCGAACATCGGGAAGCTCCTTGGTTGATTATAGAGCGTGACGTCATGGAGTCGGCGGTCCCGTTAATTTAGGTCTATAGACTGATGCATGCATTATATAAGGAGTCTAAGCTCAAAAGTTTTTGAGCAAGTTACTTTTCAAAAACAATTATTAGCTGCTGCATTATCAAATATCAAATTATCAAAGCCTTTTCTGATGCTATAAAAAATTGCATTATGAGACCAGGCATTACTACATACAAGAACATCTGATGTGTAGAAAAGCAGATTATTGTATTGTCAAATTGCTCGGAACCTTGCGGTTTTTAGACATATTACATGTATTTTAAAACACCAGGCCGAAGTAAATTACAAACACGGCACAGTTATATAGTTTCAAATTGACACCTAAATCGAGTGTTTAATAAACAAGTATTTCAGATCATCAGGCCGAATAAAGGTACAAACAGTGTCATAGTTTTAGAAGTAAACAATTACGGTCGATGATCATTTCAATACAGTAGCCACACAACATCATCATATAATCATCGGTAATTTATTACAAATCAAACTTATGTCGATGAAAGAATGACTATAACAATGATAACGAGGCGATTGTTTCATTCAAAGCAAGTACAACCAATGAAAACATACACAACTGAGTTAACAGGCGATTCTTATTTCAAGTAAAAAAAACATCGATTTTAAAACATTTAACGGGTGGAAACAACATATTTACGTTTGATAAAAGTATGACGAAAACGTCGTATAAATGATTTGATTATAGCTTAAAACACTATATAAACACACGATTAACTAGGCAATTACTTGATTGAAAAACAACATAGTTACGTTCAAAGAAACTATGTATTCTGGAAAATGATTGTTGTCAATAAAGATATGAACTCAACATAATCTATTATTTATAACTAATATAATTATTAGAAATCTGCCGATAAAGTATGACCAGAACATTTCAAAACGCGCTGAGCGTAGAACAGTGAACGAGATTCGCCTTTCGTTATTTGCGATGGTAGTCTACCCAATGAACAGGCTGAGCGGGTAAAGAATGGCCGTGTACGGAAGGATTTCAGTAGCCATTTCGGTGTGAAACTGATGTCTATAGGCGGTTCAAAGGTAAAGAAATGCCGCGATCAGAGCTGACGCTCGCGGCCTACAGGAGGTGTGAAACCCCCTGCTGCTGTATAGCACTGGTGTGTTCCCTGAACGCATACATATTGAGAACAATAGGTAGAAACATCAAAGGGAGGGTAATTATAGTTTGTATCATATATGTTACCTGATATATTTTACCTGTAGATCTACCTGTGATTATTACAGGTAAAAAGTTTGGATCATATATGAACTATGTTTTACCTGTAGATCTACCTGTGACAGCCCCAACAGTTGATCTTCATCATCAATGTGAAAGAAAACTGAGACATTAATATCAAGTGCAATATTTTTATTTGATAAATCCATACTTTATATCAATATATTATTTATATAAAATACAAATAGAACAGTGAAAGACATAATATATTTTAAAAGATATTAAATAATGAAACTAAGTCAGTACATTACAAAGTTGTTGAGCTCTGCATTGGTCACCATCGTCAATGTGCAAGAAGCGCTCTCCAGTAGTGGTTTCTGTCCATCTTCCCTCGAGTTCAATGTCCTGGGTTGTGGTTGGTAGCTTTGGTGTTAGCTTGCGTCTAGCTCTGTACAGTTGAGATTTCAAAGTGTTGAAGGTGGGTATCTTCTCCACAACGGCTCTTGTCTCATCATCCCATTCGTCGTCGCGCAGTTTATAGAGTTCCTCATTGTAGATGGTAGGAATTGGTCTAATTTCTTGCTGGCAGCGGGTCAGTAATGGAGTTCATGATGTCCTTGGCAACGATGCTGGCGTGATCTCCCGGGTGATCGTGTGGATGTTGTCCGACTCCTACTATGATGTTGTTGCGGGTATTGATCGTAGCAAGAAGTTGGTGATGGTGCATCTCCAGTAAGTTCTGAAAGAAATAAAAAGGGATTCTTAATTTTGATGACAAATGGTAAAATTTTCACAAATGTATAGTATGAACAAATAATTTAAACATTTAAGAATTACAGATAGTATTTCTAAACAACCATTAATTAATTTATCAACTATATCTTAGAGTGAAATATGCAAACAGTTAAGCATTTTGTTTCTTATTACTTTAATATTGCAACCAGAAACAGTTTCATTTCTATGTATTAATGTTCTTTCCAAACTTTAATAAACTTCTGAATTATTTATTGGTAAATAATAAACCTATGCATGATCATTTACCTTTCTCCACGAGATGACCTAATTCTGTACAAGTGTAGTAGCAGGGACAGTATATAGAGGGGATTGGCAACTCTGCCCCAGTCAAGATTCTATAGCACGTCGCTTTTGTGTTTGTTCACCGAATCGCGAAGTCATCCTGTAGGGGCTCTCCCTCTCGATCAGCCCGCGCTTGCGCACTAGCGTTAAAATCATCACATTGTGGGTTGGTATCGACGCCATCTTGGTTTGTCAAAATTGAGATAGGTGGCGCTCGCTATCTGCTCCTGAATCAGGGGGAGGTAAGTCTAGATTGACGTGTCATAAAATTGGTAAGGCAAAGATCCCCTTCACTATACGTCCCTGGTAGTAGTCACTAGTGTAGGTTACCAGGCGGGTCAAGCCCTTTAGTGTCATGGCCGGTAAAGGGGTTAACTCCCTTTGACCACTACAGAGTTAGTGGGGGAGTTGCAGTAATTGGTATAAACCTCTTACTGTTAGACCAAATATGGTGCAAGGAGTGTTAGTGGTTATATCTTGCAAAAATATCCTTTTGGTCGATTACTGTGCGAGCATAACTGTTGTAATAACTTTCAAAATTCAAANAGAGAGAGAGAGAGAGAGAGAGAGAGAGAGAGAGAGAGAGAGAGAGAGAGAGAGAGAGAGAGAGAGAGAGAGAGAGAGAGAGAGAGAGAGAGAGAGAGAGAGAGAGAGAGAGAGAGAGAGAGAGAGAGAGAGAGAGAGATCTAGAGCAAGCGAGAGTGAGAGAGAGAGCAAGCGAGAGAGAGGGAGCCAAAAACAAAACAATTTCAGTCCCAAAATATGGACCATCAGATCTGTGCTGTCGTCCCCCTTTACATCCTCGATATCCAGGGGTTACGCTCACTTTCGCTCTCTACACCCCTGGAATATGTCATGGCAAAATTGAAAGCACGAAGATAGATGTTTGATTGGTCTCAGGTAAAACAAACCTGACCAATCGATAGGCTGATACCTGCATGTCCTTTGAAGATTACAAAGGAGAGGCGCTCGACTTTAAAGCCTGTCACTTATTACCGTTACGTGACCGCGAGATTCTTTTGATGTATATCAAAGGATCGAACTAGTCTTCGTGTCGCATCAACAAGGTGGCGCACACCGAGCCTTCAACTTTGCTATGACATATTCCAGGGGTGTAGAGAGCGAGCGTAAGCGTAACCCCTGGATATCGAGGGTGCCCCTTTTACGGAGTTGAAGATTGTTATTCTTTGTTTTATCCGTTCAATACGTATTTGTCTGGGAAAAATTGGAATGAATCATTATAAATTGTCTATTTCTAATTATTTTATTAAAGGTAAAGGGGTGGAGTTTCATAACACATTTGACGTGCAATATCAATCCTCAGTGTGTGTCACACTGGGCCGTTTTCGTTTAAGCGGTTGAACCGGTCGGACCACAGTTGATCGTTTACTAAATAAGGTAAAAAAAAATCCTCCCGTGATAATTAAATGTGATCCCAACAACATTCATACTGATAACACAAGTATTGAAGTTGTGCAATCTGCTGTATAATCAAACAACTCGGTAGTGACGCGGACGATTTAAATTGTCAACAATATAGCAACAGGGTGTTTAATTGAAAACAATGTGTGATAAAAAATGAGTTTTATCGGTGACTATCCGCAATATCGTCAAGATATTTCAACCGACTAAAAAAGGTCAAATTTCATCTTGACTACATTTATCTATGTCACGTGGGTGTGATTTTTTTTTTAATATTCCAAGAATAGACCCATATAAATGTGCATTTATTTTTTATTTATCTCAAGCCATTTGAATCAGGCATGTGTATCATAGTAAAGCAGATGTACTTGGTAACACTCATAATTAATTATTATTTTGCAATTATTAGCAGTTATTAATTATCTGATCAGAAGTTGATTTACCTGTGCAATTTACCTGTACCCCATTTCTGCAATAGACTATAACTCACTATCATCACAACTGACCACCTATGTAAACATGTGATTTTAAGCAGAGTTGGTGTTCAGGGAAGACCCCGCCTCACATGAATGAACAAATAATAGCTTCTTCACCGGGGTCTTTTGTTTTGGCTAGTTTTGGTCTAGCTGCATCGACATAACATACCTGCGCGACCCCCCAGGGCCCCCGGCTGGACGTTTTCTATTATTACTGTTTACAGGACGAGGTATTTCGTGTCAACAGCCCTTTTGATGTTTATGCTTCTGCGTTTTTACTTCACATCTGAAGAAAGTATCTGATAGTTCAATGGTATTTTAGACCGGTGTGGACCAATCATATCGCTCCGCGTTGTAAATGTTCCATCTCTATTTCTGGTTGTCATATCTTCTCGGACGTTGCAAGGATGAGTTTGTACCAAATTATTCAAAGACTGATCCACCCGGACGATTTCTACGCGTCCAATCAGCCATCGCTAAACATTATGGACGTGGATGATGGACATAAGCAAGGTAATGTCCTTCAACTTCAACAGGATACTCTAAAACGTTCAATATACTGAACATTGTTTAGAGGCGTCAGAGAGATCCTTATTTATTAAATCAACATTTTGATGGCTTTTCATTATAAAACATGCATATATATTGTTTTCTGTACTAGAAACTGTATACGGTCATCTTTCCAAGTCAAGTTGTTTATATGTGTGGTGTTGGTTTTTTTTTAAATGATATAAGGGTTTATTGTTATACATTTTGATAATTTTGGTATAAAGTTTAGCAGAAAAGCACATCTGTTGAGCTTTTAATTGCGACAAACTGATACAGTCGTTTGAAGTGGGATCGGGTGAGGTCGTAGATGTTCATTTGACACAAACTTAGTATTTTTGAATTATTCAATTAATGATCAATTAATGATCATTGTCAGCTGATTATAAGAGAGGAAAGGTGGGGTTTTGTGTTGGTGGGTGAGGGGGAGGGGGGGAGG